TTTTTCAAAATAATATTAACGAAGAATTTATGTAATATGTCATTTAGAATTTATATTATACAGTAAATAATAATAATTGTCTCAAGTTTTAAAACACATAAGTCACTGTAGCTGCAAAGCACGTCGTGTGGTAGCCCGACCAGGCTGTGCGAATAATTGTCTATTCTAATCCTAGCAATACCGTTTCTTGGAGCTAGTCGTGTGGTATTACTTTACTAGTCATGCAAACAGCAGTACAGCCTCGTCGCACCACTCAGGTTTAACCGTGTCATATTGTTTTTAACGTTTGGAAAAACTATATACATTTTATACAAGGTGTAGCTAAATAAAAGCTTCCCTACGTAAGAGCTTGTATGTCTACAAAATACATTTACTTTGGACACACCCAACACAGACGGAATTCCCCAGTGCCCATCAAAATTTGACAGTAGGTAAATTTTACATAATTTTTTCCTTTTCCACCAAAAAGTGTTGCTAGTTGTAAGCTATTGGAGTACCCTGAAATGGCTCTAGATTGCATCTCGGTCATTTTCAAAAATGTTCTGGCCCCCAGACCCCCATAGAAGTCCCCGATGTGTACCAGACTACCAGTCTGTCTCTCTGCTGTCAAAGTAGAGAGTCGTAGACTCGTAGTTACCAAGGAGCTACATATAACAACGATGTGGCTTTTCCTTAATTTTGAGCCCCCGGCAAAGAAGCATAAACAGTCATCTAACGAGAGGAAGGAAAAACAGAGGGATTATGATTATGGACATTGATAATGACTGCTAAACACAAGGAAGAACATGATATGCTGTTTTATTACTGTAATTTGCTCCAAAATTGGCGGGCCTGCAGCTTTTAGGAGCTATAGGCCCTGCAGGCCTACAGCTTTTTCTGCTCAGTGGCAAACACTGTTGCTGGCAGTTGCTGCAGCCCATCAGCGCAGCCGGCCCTGCCGCCTTCTTCATAGGTAGCATTCGAAGGATCATTTCGCATGGATATTTGAGGAATTTCTGTGATTTGAGCGCATTCTGGCGGGCCGATTGTCAAAAATGGCGAGTGTAGCTTGTTCAGCAGTCTTCCGCGATTCCAACGATAGTTGGAAAGTGGCGTCACCTGCAGGAACACCGGAGTTGTAACTGATTGAAAACGATGAGTTGTGGTCCTTGCGGCGGCGAGTTAGGCACCATGTTGTTATATATATAGTCAATACGTTTATTTTTGCGTGCCGGCACGCTCATTGTGTCATTCCCGATTGCAGCTTTTTCCTCAATTCCAGGAAAGAATTTTGCTGTCGTCCTCTGATCCCAGTGGTGCCCAACCCCTATAACGAACATGCCCCACGCGACTTTAAACAATCCTGCACTTCCCCCCCCCCCCGTACATCAATCAATATGCCGCCCCAGGCACGTATATACAGCCACGCTGTGCTGACTGTCGGCGACCTTTGATAATATAAAGTGAGGATGCCGTGCGATAGCCACCCTTCACAATCGCTAGAACTGTTTTTCATCAATGTTTGGATATATACCGTAAGGAACCAACAATTGATTAAAGTTTTAGACAATTATTTTTACTCGCCAACATGGGCGAGTCAGCTTTAGCTTTTACTTGCCCGATATTATTTTCACTCGACATTGGCGAGCGGGCGAGTGCCAAGCTCGTTCGCTGGAGTATGTGACTCCGGACTTATGTTAATTTCGCACCCTGCTATAAAATTTGTAGTAAAATTGAAATCAATATAATTTGCCTATTGCGCTATTTCAGCAATTGAGAAAGAAACCAGAAATAATGGCAGCACAATTTATGAACACACTTGGTAAAGTTGGCCTCGGACTTGCAGTAGTTGGTGGTGTTGTTAACACAGCACTGTATAATGGTATGAAATTTGTATTGATTTTAATAAATTATTAATATTTTCTAGTGCTAAAGTTAAAACTTATATGCAGTCAACTTTGTGTTGGAATCATATCTATAGAATGGATATATATCTGTCTATAAAGGACATTACCATTTCCCACGAGTAACCCTTATAAATACATAGTTTGTTGATGTCTTTATATCTATTTACATGTGTCAATATATAAATCTATAGCTATATTATGAGCCTCATAAATGACATGGAATTTTATATTTCAGTTGATGGTGGTCACAGAGCAGTGATCTTTGACAGATTTCAAGGAGTTAAGGATAAAGTAATTGGTGAGGGTACGCATTTTCTTGTTCCATGGGTGCAACGACCTATCATCTACGATATCCGGTCCCGACCAAGAAACGTACCCGTCGTAACTGGTAGCAAAGGCAAGTAATCGTACGCAGAGTGATCATGGCAGTAAATGTGATTATGTTCACATAATTGACTTTCACGTAGCCGTGTTACAGTGTGAATACAGTTTGGACAATTGCATGATAGTAAAACAGTCTAGCAGTCTTTCTAAATAGTTACTAACATTCCAAATATTGCACTATTGTAAAGTGATTCGTGATGATTTTGGTTCACCCTCTTTTAAGTAAATGTAACCAAGTTGTTGTTATGTCTTTAAAGTTGATCAACCTCGCAACTAAATGCATATATATACTTACCGTGAGCTTGCATATGATATGTTGCAAAAATTCACTACAACTCATTTGTATTGCTACTTTTATAACATTTCTTCTCAAAATTGAAACGAAATTACTGCTCTTACGAACGTAGCACCATAGTGATGGTTACACGTCCGAGACACAGCGGAACGATCTACTTGATTCAGTAACAGTTTCTTTCTATGATAAAACAAGTTATAATTAATTATTCGATATTTATTCAGTACAAAATTGTGAAATTTGTTTAAATCATATATCTATAGTACTTATGCAAGCAGGAAACAAATATAGTGTTTTCGTTCCAGGAACGATTTGCGCTATGGCGTATGGATACTAATTTGCGTTATCTGGCACTTCGTACAAATAACTTGCGTCTGACGTACGTTTTCCAAATAATCAACTTCGGAGCACATTTCTGGCTCAATGAGAACATTTCGTGATGTTTGCACACTGCAAGTATTCTCACAGTCTTTTGTTGCGAGGTCTATCCGTTTTAATAAGTTTTTGGACATAGACAAATCACATCATGTATTTCCAGATTTGCAGAATGTGACCATCACCCTGCGTGTTCTGTACAGACCGATCCCCGGTGAACTGCCAAAAATCTACACAAACCTCGGTGTTGACTATGAGGAGAGAGTGTTGCCTTCTATCACGAATGAAGTTTTAAAAGCTGTTGTGGTAGGTAGATGTAGAAAATAATCAATATTTTAAGTATTTTAAATGGAAAGTACTGTAGTTATTTAGTATTATTGATAGTTTGATATTGAAAATTGGTACGATTGGATTGATTATGAATTTGCGAATACAATGATCATAGATTTATCGGTACAGGTCGGAAACTGTGAAATTGTTTATCACCTTGGTATCTAATTAAAATAACGTGCATAAGAATTGTTTTTCAACAATGTACTGGAAGTTCAAGTGATGTGCCTGTCTATCTGAGGCCCGATAAAGCAAGAACCACTGTATTTTTAGTCCTTGATCGCTTATCCCTACAACAAACTCCAGTTTTTTCATTTAGAAATTTTTTTAACAATTTTGCAAAATACATTGTGTAAAAACTATATATATATGACTATTTTATTCGTTCTTGTACACAGGCTCAGTATGACGCTGCAGAGCTGATTACACAGCGAGAACTTGTGTCACAGAAGGTCAGTGAAGACCTGACGGAGAGGGCATTCAGTTTTGGACTCCTCTTGGACGATATTTCTCTGGTGAGTACATGATCATTTAGTGTCCAGATGTGATTATTTTGACTATGAAAATTATATATGAATCCATATAAATAGAAAATGACATGGTTGTTTTTATATGGAAAGTTTAACCTAAAATTATGCATTTATAATGTATTCCATGTGTGGGTCCCTTTAATTCACGAATACAGTAGTTACTGATGCAGGAATGTCACATCAATTCTGGTATCACATTTGTAGTAGAAAGAACTACTGCAGAAGGTAATATCTGAAAATTGTCACTGTAGACACATACCTCGTTTGGAACCGATTTCACGCACGCAGTAGAACTGAAGCAGGTGGCGCAACAGGATGCTGAGAGGGCACGATTCACTGTAGAAAAGGTAATATTTCGTTGCTGTTGAATTTAATCTGATTTTAATATTGTCATATATTTGTCATGTGGTTTTTAGTTCATCTGACATAGTCAGATGCAGCTTGTAGAATCGCATGAGCGTGCGTGCGTCTGTCCGTGCGTGCGTGCGTCCGTCCGTCAACAGTTGGGCACAAATCTAAACGGCTCGACGTACGGATTCGAAAGTCGGGACGTGGGAGGGTAATCCGAAAACGAGTTGGGATGTCAAAGCTGGGGGTCAAAGGTCAAGAGGTGTAAAAGAAGGGGGAACATTCCCTCCTTAACTTAAGGTATAGGGAGGAAATGCAGAATTGCAGCACAAATCTAAATGGCTCGACCTAGGCTCGTGATAGTCGGTGTATAGCATCATGGTAGGAAAAGCCATCACTGTGCCGAAATTGGAGGTCAAAGGTCAATGGGGCACAGGGCAGATTTTAGACATTTTCTGAGGACATGGTCTGACGGAGCGATTGAAAAACTTTTTTGTTTCAGCGGTGACCTAGCATTTTTATGGCGTTATTGAAAGGACCATGAAATGTACTTTCCGCTGACATGCGAAGAGTAAGTGTCGGATAACCTTTTGACCCTCAAGAGGAGGGTTAAACATTGATTTGTTGACTGTTAACAAAGGACTGAACTGCTTTTGCTATTATTAGAGCCCATACCTGTGTGAATGTGAGGCTACAGTTGCACAGTTTAATCGCAAAGGCAAATGTTTGTTGAACAAGGTTTAGGCTCCTTAAATCATATAATTTTCTAAAGCAGTCTGTCTATAGCACCCTGAAGGCTGAATCAGTGAATGCTCGCGTGGGTAGGCAAAACACAGGGCAGCCCATGGCTGGCACTCTTCTAATCATAATTGTTGCCTGCCAACCTGCAATGCACATGTGTTAACTCACAGCTGAGCGAAATTATCGCCTGCCTGAATATACTTAGATTTTAGCCTGTAGGATTTCAGCAACTCCCCAGGGAGCTAGTTGGGGTGTCTCAAGAAGGGCGATGCCATCTTTGCTTATTGATTACACTTGCACGCGCCATCTCGCGGCAACTATAGGCCTAGTTTAAATTAGATTTTATTCTCATGTAACTTTGTTAAATGAATAAATAATAACTAGTACCATATAATATATATTTACTTTTCATCTTGAATCTTAACATATATTATGTAGGTGTGGCCGTGCATATCTATTTACCAGTTATGCAAACATAAGCTGTTACCATAGAAATATTAGAGACACTATATATATTATTATTTCTATGGCTGTTACACTCAGGGGCATAGGAACGAAGTATTATTGAGGGGGCAGTAAAAGGCATCATCGCTGAGTTTTAAATTTTTTTTATATAATTAAGAGAGAGAAAGTCTAAGATAAAGAGAGAGAGAGAGAGAGTAGTAAATTGAGACGGGGACAGGAAAACGGTGATACGGTGTGTATGCGAGTGGGAAACGGGGTACGTGCGAGGGGTCGTGCGAGATGGTGTGCAAGAGGGATGGGGGATGGGAGGTGGGAGGCAGGAGGCAGGGGGAGGGAGGTCGAAGGCAGTGGGAGGGAGATGGGAGGTAAGGGGGTGGAAGTGAGAGGCAAGGGGAGGGAGGTGAGAGGCAGGAGGGAGGGAAGTGGGACGCAGTGGGGAGGGAGGTGGGAGAGAAGGACCCCTCCCCGACCCTCTAATTAAACTTGGAGGGTGGAGATCCATGCTCATATGTTGAAATCTTTTATGTCAACGTCAATGTCATTCATTAACTTGTATTTCAATTGTTATTATTGTTCTTGTTATTAGAATTAGCCCATATAGAGATTAGGTGGGTGCAAAAGTGTAAGTGATATATTTGTTCGAATTGGCTACGAAAGTCAAACAAGAATAAAGAAGACTTATGTATAAGACGTCTTGCTATGCACAAATGAATTTATCAGCAGAAACCAGACACCAGATGAGCCCTGTTGCTCTGCGGCACTTGTTTTAACAGGAATAACGTGTCATTTTTTTAACAGGAATAGGAACAAAGATCAGTTATATTTTAGGTGAAACTATTACTGCTTTATATTAAAAGCACCTGCGCTTCACTGCAAGATAACTCGTTTATTCTTTTATAGACTCGGTGATACTTCCGAGACATTGCAAGGTGCACGTGTGCTTAGATATTGTACCTTTGTCACTTCTAGGCTGAGCAACAGAAGAAAGCAGCTGTGATATCTGCGGAAGGTGACACAAAGGCCGCAGAGCTGCTTGCACGTGCATTCATCGATGCAGGAGAGGCGCTGGTAGAACTCCGCAAACTGGAGGCGGCTGAGGACATAGCTTACCAAATGTCAAAGTCGCGAAATGTCACGTATCTGCCACCGGGGCAAAATATGCTGTTAAATCTGCCAGTGACGCAGTAGGCGTCATCCACTGATAGCCAGACTAATAGAGAAAACTTCCAATAATTACACAATTCGTTACTGCATAGTATCTCACTGCTGGAATCAAGTAATCATTTGCAAAAACCTATAGTGTTTTAGCTGAAATGTTAGTAGGACATGTATCAAAATCGTTTACTAACATAAAAGCAAACCAATGAGAGGCAGGACGATTGACAGATGCGGCACAAAGGCGTACCAGAATAGCAGTTTGCCGTAACTAATCAACATAACTGTACCAATTCAAATCGACTTGGCAATAAACATGGTAGCAACAGCGGTACAAAATTGTTTTTTTGTACGTTATATCAGGAGCTCATCTACATACTAATTTTACATGCACCAATAACAACAATTAAAAAGAGCAAAACTTTATTAAAGTAAATATTTGTTTTAATACATAATATTGCTGACAAGTATAAAGGAGACATTTGTATCGGAATGATCTGAATTCAGTTGGTGTAAGCTGGTTGGTCTTAAACATTAATTTCAAATTAGACATGGGTTGTTTTATGAGCTTATAATAAATTTAGGATTGCCTTGCAAATGAATGGCAGGCCTTTTTAAGCCGTCACTGCTCAATAACGACTGGCTAGTATTTTACTTCCCATGGTGACAACATCTAGCATTATCGCTTGTTTAACAACCCTTTATTTTACATCATGCAGACACAAGTAGTAAAATGCATGTGCTTTCGGAGGTTTACCAACTTTTAAACATTGCATGAAGTTTTACATATTAGCAAACTGGAGACACCAGTACATGTATTTTTAAAGCACGTTCACGACATAAAACTAGCTAGATAAAATAAAGAACATAAAATCACTAAAATGATACTCTGATATCAAGTAACTTCTACAGGGTTAGTATTATACATATACAACACTTGGTGTACATAAAGCAATGTTGACCCCCCGACCTACGACATAGGATTGAAACTGCTCGCTGAAATGTAATTTATAGGTTATATCTTGCGTAAACATGCTCGGACCAACAGTCCAGTTTTTGTGTTCTTAATAATAATATTGGCTGCTTTTTGTACACTTTGTCGCCATTGTTACACATACAACACATAAACAGTCAAGATATAAAGCACGAGTGGTGCCATCTGGGGAAGTACAAAACACACGACATAAATATCATGATCATTTTCTGGAATGGAGTAGAGAGGTTAAGGGAACACAATAAGTGTGGCTGTCATTCATTCCACAGCCACCGGACCAAAACTTAAGTAGTGTACAATTTTTGTTTGTTGCTGAAACCAATAATAACATTTCATCAGCCTTAAAATATCACAGCAGAAAAGTAGTGACGAGATGCACTTCTCAGTACAAATCAATTCAACCATATCTCTCTGTGATACATTCTGGTTGGCAGTTGAAATAATCCAACCACATTCTGTTATCATTAGAATGTTTTCAGGCCATGTTACTGGAGCGTGGACACTAATTTTAATTTAGAAAGGCATGATCTTTACTGCAACATTGATGTGATAAAATGACAACAATTGAATTTTACCGTAAAAAGAACATAATTGAATGCAACAATACTTGAACAAATATCCTCTGATACAAGTAGTACTTCAAAGCACTTTACTCGACCAACTAAAACTCGCAACAGACACATCTAAGTGATCACGACCTTCAATACACAACCTAATCATCAAGCACTACCAAGCTAAAATGGCGTGTTAATACAAGATATACTTCCAAAACAGTAATAAAAGATCAGAGCCCATAAAATCTTGGATAGTGCTGTACGTAACTATTGACAATTCAAGACGTTTACTTGAGAAAGTCGTTCTCACCAAAAATTGTAGAAGGGGTTTACCAGAGATCATCAATAGTAGTCTTGCTCCCCAATGTAATTATGAAGCCACATACCCCATTATTGGTATGTTGCAACAAGTAGCCGCCCTTAACAAGTTACACAACAGCTTACGCGAAGGGGGGGGCTATTTCATTTGGTTGGGAAGCGCCAAGATATTGTTCGCATGCATCTAGAGGTCTGTATCAAACCACGCTGCCATCTGGCTGTTATCAGCCGGAGGGATAGAATCCAGATTCATGGTATCGAAATCCATGCCTCCAGGTGCTGCCATATCCATCGGTGGTGGCGGTGGATAGTTTGCACCGCCCATGTCTATCTGAACACCCTGCATGCCCGGTGTATGCGGGTGGTAACCTCCTGGAACCCAACACAATATTTATGTCACTCTTTTCAAAATAACTACATTAGAAATGTTTGCATAAATTCTTGGATAAGCGGGGACCTAAAAATATCTATATTTCTAAATATTATGAATCTGTTAACACACAATGAATTACAGGTTATTGCACTCCTAAACATTCTCTCACCTACGTTCGACAGTAGCAGCAAGCTTACCTTGTGACTGACGTGGGTCGTGTTGATTCTGGTTGTTGTGTGGTGGATACATCTGTTCGCTATAAGGCTCATCTCCCATCATCATTGCATCCAGGTCGGGTGGCTGGAACACATTTAGACACGTATAGCTACTTTTACCCCATCAATAATCTAACAGGTGCAGATGCGACTCTCTTCACAATGAGTCATGTTTGAGAACGGAAAGTTTCACTGCCATGCAAAATCAGGTAAAGGGAAATATACTGCGCTGTCAACTGTGCAGCACAGTAACTGAAGATTTCAATAAATATAACTTTATACAGTGTATCTAATTACTTTACATCACATATATCATTCCGTACATATGGTTACTGATTTACAGTCGGATTACTGCATCGATTTACTGACCTGTCCCCAGTCCTGGTCAGAGCGGAAGAGTGAGCTGGTCAGTTCCACCGACAATCTTTTGCGATATTCCTGCGGTTTATCTTCAGACATGCGGAACAACACTGCTGCTGCATAGGTAGCTGAATTATGGAGAAAATAAGAAGGATATTCAGACAGCATAGCAACCTAATAAATAAAATCAGCTTAAAATTAGAAGTGAATAGATGTTTTATGGTGAAGGGGGGGTATCCTAAGTTCTGCTACATAGCTAAACAAGTATACTGCATACTCATTTAACTTGGCAGCCTATTGCTTCTGTAATGGTGATCAAAAGGGTACCCATTTCATTTGTACTTATCTTTACTAAGGCTTAGGACAGGAGTAATGACTGTATTGTCTATATTCTTGGTAATGTTGCAAAGCAATACAGAAAAGAGACATTAAGTGGCTATGATGAGCCTAAAGAGAAATCTTCATTCTAAGACTGGGTTTAATTGTTGAATATTAGTCATGTTAGTAGTTTTTCATAAAGGACAATAGCATCCTCCTATCATAACAACAAATGATTCCGTGTGTTATGCCCGGCGCACACGTGAGTTATTTTACTCAAGTAAAATGACGCATGAGTTATTTTACTCACGTGTGCGGCGGATTTTCGTTGAGTAATTTGACGCATGCGTCATATTACTCACGTGTGCGGCGGATTTTCGTTGAGTAATTTGACGCATGCGTCATATTACTCACGTGTGCGGCAGATTTTCGTTGAGTAATTTGACTCATGCGTCATTTTACTTGAGTACATGTGCGCCGGGCTTAAAAGACATGAAACCATGTCGGATGACGTCAAGTGATTTTGAGCGTAAACACGACCTAATCACTTACCAACTCCCTCGTTCCGTGAGTGCAGAAGTTCGGTGAGTGGAGCAGTGGCTCCCTCTTGTTCGATGATCTCCGCGCCTTCCTTATCCGCAGCCAGTTCACACAACACACCTGCTGCCACCCGCTGGATGTTCTCGGTATCGGAATAAAGCAGCTACAAAAGAAAGCAGCCACAACTCACACAAATATTCTGACATCTATGTATCTATTTATTTGTATGTGTATAATATTATATAATACAAAACTTTCAGGACATTCCTCGATTAAGTGGCTTGCTGACTAATACGCCGATTATGTTGGTGAACGTTCATCTGGCTACCCTAACAGCCCCGCTACTTTGCGACTGCAACATTGTACAACCGACTACCATGCCCATCTATATAACAGCAGCTTACCTGTACAAATATCGGTATGCAGGTAAGTCCGCGAATGACAGCACGGTTGTGGGCTTCACGGCCAAGGATGTGCAGTGCTCCAACAGTTCCCTCTACGATATCCTCCATGCGCACCCCATCAGCATATGTACTGCTGTTCGATCCCATAGAGGCACGCTGCAATCCCAAAATCATTCGATTATGATGACATGACCACAGCAATTCCGATATGCTGGCGCCCACATAATTATGAGTGGTGCATGGGAATCAACTATGCAGGACCTTCGCTCTCTCTCTTTAATACTCAAGTCACTGCGCTTACCCTCTGAGTGTCCTGGTGTGCTCTGATCAGTAGCTGCACAAGTCTGGGCAGCGCGCCGTGCTCGCGTAGCGGAGCGTGGTTCGCCGGACACAGTGCCAGGTTGCGGATCAGCCCGATGACGGCCTTGATGAGCGGCCAGCGGCTGGGAGGGTGCAGCATCTTGACGAGCACGGGCAGGCCGTAGTGGAGACGCACGGCATTCTGCGCCATCTCTGCCTCCGTGTGGCGGCTCGTCATGTGACGAAGCGCACACACCTAGAAGAGAAAGGAAGAAAGATAAACCCACCACACTACACACACGGTTTCCATCCATGGTTCAAATTGCTCATTTTCTAGTTTTAAAGTTCAAATGTCCAACAACTAAATTCTGCTTTCGTTTGATATTTACATTACTCTTGTATTAACTTGGGAACCAAGATTGTACATAAAATTAGAATAGGAGCGGGACAGGTGAAGGAAATTGAGAATGTGGGGAGATTGAGAATAGAGAGAGATGAAGAGACAGATAACAAAATGTTTTTCATTTTAAATAAACGAGATATACATCACAGGCCATGTAACTTAACTTAACGTAACGTAACTTAATGAACACTTAACAACAATTAACTTGCTGGTACTTACAGCAGGTTCAGTGATCTCTTCTCGATCGCCAGCCTGAATGCAGGTTCTCACAAGAGCTTCGATGCCACCACTCTGACAGGCAATGACCTTGTTGCGCTGATTGTTGCACGTGAGATTGGATAGGATTCCAGCTGAACAAGTCACGACGTTGATGTCGTTGGACGAGAGCAGCTGGACCAGCATTGAAATCAAGCCTTCCATGTTTTGCATCTGCAAACATTAAATATCACAATCAACTCGCATATATCAATACAACAACATTACAACTTTCAATTCAATCACTCAATAAAATTATTTACAACTTAATAACAATAATCAATAATAATCAATATTTAATATTTATAACTTCAGGTAGAACACATGGTTGTACACATACCTGCTTAGTGGCAGCATCCGAGAGATTTCTCAAAGTCCAGAGACAGTTCTGGACAAGTCGTGTGCTTGGGTGACCGAGGTGCATGGCCAAAGCTTGCATGCCTCCTGTGATGGATAACAGATGTGTAAGTATGCAAAAATATGTAAGCAGTGGTAGAAATAAACTTTTGAACAAGGAAGTCCGTGCCCTCAAAAAGAGGGAGTCCGCAGTCTGAATTTTGTTTCAGGTAGTGTCGCCCGCGGCTAAAGGGGATGGATCCGAGTCTGAAGTTCAAAATATGAAAGATAATTAACAATAACGCAATGTGCTCATTTTGAGATTCGCATGCGAGTTGCACGTGACGCCGAAATTTTCCCCTTTGGAGATTTTGCTGGAAGAACATACGCGTAAATGTCCTCAAGGCCAGTGCTTGCGGAACGAGCTAGTCTACGTATGGCCGAAAGATGTTTCAGGGAGTCAAGCAAGAACTCCTTGCATAATGTCAATATCAGGGGCAGTTTGCCAGGCAGGTAAAGCGCTAAAGAAGTATTT